AAAGAAAGAAAGAAAGTAAACATGAATTCAAAGCTCTGTAGGTGAAAAGAGCCAGGGCCCATTAACTCCACTGCAGTGAAAAGTGATGCAGGCAACCAGGAGACATGAAGGTCATGGAATATGCAAGGAGAGGATCGAGAGGACACAAGAAGCACAGGTTTAGGCTTGGGGAACCAAGACGGGTGGGATCAAAAGGAAATATTGCCCAAAGCAAGGCTAGGAATCTTTGTCTAGGGATCTTCTGAAAATCCCTAACATACTTCATTGGCACTGGCAGCTCGAGTATCAAAGGCAGCAGCTCCTGGCCGACAGACAAGCCTTTCACATGGAGCAGCTGAAGTATGCTGAGATGAGGGCCCGGCAGCAGCACTTCCAACAGATGCATCAGCAGCAGCAGCAGCCACCACCAAACCTGCCCCCAGGCTCCCAGGCCATACCCCCAACAGGGGCTGCTGGGCCACCCTCAGTGCATGGCCTGGCTGTGGCTCCAGCCTCTATAGCCCCTGCTCCTGCTGGCAGTGGGGCCCCTCCTGGAAGCTTGGGCCCTTCTGAACAGATGGGGCAGACAGGGTCAACTACAGGGCCACAGCAGCCACAACCAGCTGGAGGCCCCCAGCCTGGGGCAGTCCCACCAGGGGTACCCCCCCCTGTACCCCATGGTGAGTGTGGGTTCTAGAACTCTCTTGTTGGCCACAGGGATCCTGGTGAATGTCTCAGTTCCCCTAGAAGGGGATACATAATGGGCCTGGAGAGGATTGCCCTCAGTAGGATTTTCTTCCATTTCTACAGATGGACCCACTTCTGTATGCCCCTAAACTAGTTAGGATTTCCCTCCAAACCCAGACCTTAGGATTTACCACTTGCTCTAGAATTGGAAAGGGGATGTACTGAGAGGCTGGATTATCCTTACTGTGAAAGGGATATTTTCCACTAACCTTTCTTCTCTTCATTCCTAGGCCCCTCACCGTTCCCCAACCAACAAACTCCTCCCTCAATGATGCCAGGGGCAGTGCCAGGCAGCGGGCACCCAGGCGTGGCGGGTAATGCTCCTTTGGGTTTGCCTTTTGGCATGCCGCCTCCTCCTCCTCCTGCTCCATCCGTCATCCCATTTGGTAGTCTAGCTGACTCCATCAGTATTAACCTTCCCCCTCCTCCTAACCTGCATGGGCATCACCACCATCTCCCGTTTGCCCCGGGCACTCTCCCCCCACCTAACCTGCCTGTGTCCATGGCGAACCCTCTACATCCTAACCTGCCGGCGACCACCACCATGCCATCTTCCTTGCCTCTTGGGCCGGGGCTCGGATCCGCCGCAGCCCAGAGCCCTGCCATTGTGGCAGCTGTTCAGGGCAACCTCCTGCCCAGTGCCAGCCCACTGCCAGGTGAGAAGGGGCCAGAAGGGGAGAAGGGAGAGGGAGGGATCCACATGGAGGGAGGGAGGGAAGGAGGGAGGGCAGGTGAGGGTCAGGTACTAGAATCTCCATATGCCTTTTCGAACACTCTGGTAAAATTAGAATACAGGAGGACTGGCCTCTGGCTGTCCTCCATTCCCCAACCTGGCAGCCGCCCCTCTGGGATGACGTTGGGGCCTTTCACTGGTGGGTCATGGAGGAATCCTGTGACAGAGCATCTCAGTTGTAAACTTGAAAAACAGCTACCTGTCCGCATGATTGGCATTCCTTTGCTTGTTTTCATCACATTCAAATGCCCTGCTTAGAGTCCCCTTGAGGGCAGGAGAACCATTTGGGGGTACACTGAGAGGTGAAAGGAGGGTATTAGAAAAAGGAAGTTGCCCATTGTGGGTACCTCATTCATCTACCTACCCACTGCATGCCATGCTCAGTTCTGTTCGTATGTGAAGCCTGGGTCTGGATCTCTCCCTCTGCCTTGCCCCAGCTGATTTATCTTCCTTTTCTCCACAGACCCAGGCACCCCTCTGCCTCCAGACCCCACAGCCCCGAGCCCAGGCACAGTCACCCCTGTGCCACCTCCACAGTGAGGAACCAGCCAGCCATCTGTCCCCTCACCTTCTCTGTGGAGATCACAGTTCCAGGAACAGTCCTCCCCCACCAATGGAACCCTCCCCCAGCCTGGAGAGTTCATCACTACGTAAGGAAAGCTCCTCCTGCCCCTCCACAGCCCCCACCATGCCCAGCAGAGGCATGCATTTTTATATTGGATGATTCAAGGACTTCTGTTTAAAAGATGTTTCTAATGTCTGGGAGCAAGGGATAGGACAGGAATGCTGCCCTTAAAGGAAGGGCTGGGGAAAAGGTGTTTATACAAAGTTCTACTTAACCACTTCTAAGGGTGCACCCTCTTTAAAACTACTACTTTTTTTATGGATAAAAAGAAAATTAAGCCCTTTAAAAGGAAGTAGAGAGAGATTTTAAAAAGCCACATTGGAGATCCCTTCAGTCCACTAAAAAATAACTTCTTAAAAATTTTTTTTCTTTCTTTTTGAGGAGGATGAGTTAAAGAAAAGGGAATTAAGGTTCTGAGTTGTGCTCTGGGGATGAAATAGGCTATGAAGCCTAGCTCCTCAAACCCCTTAGTAGTCAACTCCCTTTACCCACTCCACCAGTTCATCCATACTAATCTCTCCTGCTGCTTCCTCAGTGTTGCTGTTTTAGGCCACTCAGCTCAGCCAATGATCCCTTTCCCTCTGAATGTCAGTTTTGTGTTTGTTTTTAAAAGTCACCTGCTTAGTTGATGTCAGCGTATGTGTATTTGGTGGGAAAATGTATTTGGGGGGAATTCGTGTGGTAGGTAATAGAGGAAGAAAGGGCAAGGGGACCATTCTTCCTCCTTTTCCTGGGTTCTATCATGAATGCCTAAAAGGCATGGAAAAGGGAGCTGTTAAGTTTTAAAATTGAAAAAAAAAATCAAAGAGCACTTAAGCACCTCCATAATGACTTGGTGGGTCATTCCCCTAACCTCTGCCCTCCCCCACCAAGACTGGCAGAATGTCACTGAGAGCTGGGAGTTCCCCCACCAAGGACACGGGTTTGGGAGCAGTACAGTTTGGCTCTGCCTCCTGGATTCTAGTGCCTCCCCCTTCCAATTCTCCCCTCTTCACCCTGACACGGAGGAAAGGCCATACTAGGCTCTACACCAGTTCTTGATCCTCCTACCAGGCCCTTTGTTCCTCATGTCCCCCGTGTTTGTTTCTCTTTTTCTGAGTCTTGGCACCTTTCTTCTGTTCAAAAGTTTTCTGTAAATTCTCTTTTCTTCCTTTTTTTTTCCTTTTTTTTTCTTTCTTTCTTTTTTCTTTTCTTTTTTTTTTTTTTATAAATTAATTTGCTTTCAGTTCCATCTTGTGGATGCCTCTGTGTTCTTACCTGTGGTTGTCAGGCAGGGGATCGGGCTGCATTATTGGAGTATCATGGGGTACTCAGTGGGACTATAGGGCTGCAGACATTGGCCTTACTCATACACACCACAGAAGGCCAAAGGCACTGCTGCTGGAGCAGGGGCTCTCACCTGCCCTAAAAATAGCTGCTTAGGAGATGGAAAGACGTCTTCCGTGGAGATTTTGTGTCTTTATCCTTTCAGTAGTAGTAGCTTCATTCCTTCCCTAATAAGGGAAGCAGCAGGTCTTCACCTACTTGTTTTTATTGGCCCCCAGTCCTACAGTTGTGACAGGGCACTGGCAATGCTAATATGGCCTGGCTTTAGCTCCAGTAAACACTCAGGCCTCTCCACAAAAGGCCTTCCATATTTGGGGAGGGAGGTGCTGGGCCATATCCTGAGTTCTAAGGAGCCCTAGGCCTAGGCAATGAGGACTGTACAGAATAGAACAAAAAAATGCTGGCCAGCCTTGGTTTATGGCTTTCCCGATCCCACAAAGTAGCCTTTGTAGCAAAGATGAATTTCTTAAATGAGGCATTGACCTTGGGCTATGGTATCTCCGGGCAAAATTCACCTCCCATCTTACTCCCCCCTCCCCTGCCCTGCCACTGCCCAGGAAGGAAAGCAGAACCATAATGGAGCAAAGAGAGCTAATTTATTTGGTGAGTGCTGATGGCAGACATCATCCGAGAGAGAAGTTGGGAAAAATATCCTGTGACAAGGGAGCCTAGGAAGCTTCTAGGGCCACACAAAAATCTCACACCGGGCAAGGCACAGGCTCAGGGATACTGGGAAGGTTTTCAGCCATTCAGCACCATCCGGACAAGCTCTGTAGAGAGGAAAAGTGGAGTGAGGCAGAGAGAGAGGGAAAAGGAGGGGTACGCCAGGGGCCAAAAACTGACTGCAAGACTGTAAAGGTGGCTTGAGGGAACATGCCCACAGCAACCAACCTAAGGGTTGGTTGGCAGAGAAGCCACCTTGAGTCTGACCAGTTTTCTCAGCCTGACTCCCCTCCCACCGGCTTTCAGCTCCCTGCCCACCCTGAGCAGCAAGAGTAGAGCAGAGGCAGAAAAGTTCTCAACTACACCTACAGCTACTGTCAGCCACTGGCAAGAGGAGAGGACAGTTTTGGGTTAGAGTACCTCCAAGCTGCCCAGCAGAGGGAGGTGGGAAGGACTGTTGAGCTATAGCAGCAGAATGGGGCAGGCAGCCCACCTCTCTATGCCAACTCTCCATGCTTCAGGGCCAAAGGATCCCCCTAAAGCAAGACGCGGTGTAAGCTGGTGAGCTCCCAGACACCAGCATTCAAGGCCCAATAAGCAAGATCTCAAGAGTCGGTTCAAGGAGAGAAGTCAGGAGGTACTGCACTCCCAAGCTGCCTTCCTCTTTAAGGAATCCCTCCCCTCCCTGGCCAGCCCCATGCAGAAACATGCCAGGAAGAAGTCAGATGGTAGTAGGGTAAGGGCTGGGACTAGAGAGCACAGGTTGGGAAGAAAAAGAAACACTGGGAGATCAACTAGAGAAGGAGAGGCTGGGAGGAGCCGTACCCGCCCCACGGGCCGTCACCCTGACAGGATATGCCTCACAAACGCTGCAGGAAGGAAGAGACATTAATGGTGAAGACAAGACACAGACATGGGGTGAAGGGTTCAGGTGGTGGGGAAACAGACATCCCATTTACTCCTCATTCCTTCCCCACCCTACATACCCAAAACCACAACCTCCCACTCCTGGGCTGGGCCTGCCCCTTGCCTCCTTTTGGATCCAACTCCAGGGATAAGCAAAGTCTCAGATACAATCCTGCTATATGGCCATTTCCTCTGCAAGAATCCCAGTTTGCCCCTCACCTTCGTAGTTAATACAGCCATTGCTGTCCTCATGCCCTGCTACCAGCATCTCCACTTCTTCCTCAGTCATCTTTTCACCTGCAGAGGAGGGTGCCAATGGATCACGCCTGTAATCCTAGTGGCTCAGGAGCCTGAGATCTAAGGATATGGGTTCAAAGCCAGCCCAAGCAGGAAAGTCTTGTGAGACTTATCTCCAACTAACCACCAGAAAACTGGAAGTAAGCTATGGCTTGAAGTGGTAGTGTTAGCCTTGAGCAAAAAAGGTCAGGGACAGTACCCAGGCCTTGAGTTCAAGCCTCACAACCAACAACAAAAATCATTTTTGGAACTGGGTAACAGGTGGGGTGTATCCAGGCAGCACCTCAGCTCTGGGACAACGGTATAGAGTCTTACCCAATGTGACAAGTACATGACGGATTTCAGCACCCATGACAGTACCATTCCCCTCCTTGTCAAACACCCGAAGGCCTTCTACATAATCCTCATAGGTTCCCTGGTCCTTGTTCTTGGCCACAGTCTGTAGCATGGGCAGGAAGTGTTCAAAGTCCAGCACCTTTACATTCATCTCTGCCACATAACAAGAGGGAAAGTAAGCCAATTGTTGGTGACTACACCTGTAATCCTAGCTACTCAGGAGGCTGAGATCTGAAGATTGAGGTTCGAAGTAAGCTTGGGCAGAAAATTCCACCAGACTCATCTCTAATTAACCAGTTAAAAGGATGGAAGTCCAAGTGGTAGAGCACTAATCTTGAGCAAAAAAGCCAGTGGAAACTTGAGGCTCTTAGTTCAAGCCCAAGTACCAGTGTGCTAGTATATATACATAAAGTGGGAGAGTGTTAGGCCAAAGAACTCAAATTCCCAGGGTGGGATCATAGGATCACAAATTGATGATTTCTACCAAAGAGTAACATTGCTCCAGTTTGAAGCTGAATAAGATAAACTTAGCTGAAGAGATTTGGACTTACTGCCACACTAGGTTGTTTTGAGGATGCTCACCATCACTCTTGGGGTTCCCCAGGACCTTGAGCACCTCGGCGTTGGTGGGGTTCTGGCCCAAAGCTCTCATCACATCCCCACACTGGCTGTATAGGATCTTGCCATCACCTGTTCGGTCAAACAGCTGGAAAGCCTCCTTGAATTCTGAGGATTCAGGTGATCATCAGTAAGAGGAATGTAGGGATTAATTCAGTCCCTCCCTCAGTGCTCCGCTGCTCCCTGTCAACTTAGACCATGCTATGGAAACCAGATATCTATGCTGCTGTACACCTAAGAATGCTAAGAAGGCATCTGTTTCTCTTTCTTTCAACTGCAATGTTCCACATACAAGATTCAGCCTTCCTCCCCGCCAGACAGCACAGTACAGTGCATTCACACACAACAGGAGCCGAGCCGGCAGCAGGCCCACTACATTAACTACTCAGGAATTTGCCACCGCCCAGTCTAGGTCCAGTCCTTATAAGGACATGGGTGCCTCAGGCTCGGACTAGGGTCATCTTAACACCACTTCCTACTCTTCCTCTATGAAGAGACCTAACTCCCCTATCCCATCATCCTTTCTTCCCAAAACTTCAGGTCACTGCCCTTACAATCTTCTCAGTTCCAGGCTGGGAGAAGGGATAAGTTATCACAAGAGAAGTGAAGAAGCAAAAGCTGGTTAAGGAGACAGAGACAGATGCACCCTCCCCAGACCCCACACACAGCACGCATTTAGGTGGTGACCAAGTAGTTCCACATACCCACACCACCTAAAACTCACCCAGTGCTTGGGGCTCAGATCTAGAGTGGAAGGGGAAGGAAGAACGCATGAGAGAAGAAAATGGAGGGTCCAGAAAGTGGGAGAAAGGAATCTAAGGGGGACTCTCCTGGGGATGCTGAACAAATGACAAGTTGGGGCTACAGAGTAGGTGCTAGAGGGGGGTGTCCCTCTCGGTAAGAGTGACCTCAGTTGGGGTCAGACTGCCTACCTGCGGTCTGGTCTTCGGTGAAGTCACACTGCTCAGAAAAGAAGGAATGGTCAGCGCTTAAACTCCAATCCCTCAACCTTCTATCCCAGTCCCTCCAACTGAACCAAACTCCAGCTTCAGTGAGGGACTCGCTTACCAGCAGGACAAGGCCCTCGCCTTTCCGGCCCACCCTCCAACCTTCCAAACTCTCAGCTTCCCTCTGCGCCCTACCCTGGCTTGCCTTCTAGCCCTCCCTGCCCGTGGGTCCCCTCCTGGCCCCAAACCCCGCTTATCTCCCGGATCCTGGGCCCCACCATCTTGGCTGCTCGGCTCTCCGAGACCTTTCCTGCAGTAATGGCTCCGGCTCCCAGCCCAACCCTAGTCTCAGCTTGCCCGAATGACGTCACTCTCTGTACATTCGGCCAATAGGAACCCCGGCCTGGATTTATGCAGATCACACGCTACATGAAAATGAGGTGGGCGGGACCCTCCGTGGTGCTCCACGCCCCGCCCCGGTCCCGGCCCCGGCCCCGCCCGGCCCTATCCAGGCCGCCGAAAGTCCGTCCTCCGGAGGCTGGAATGAGGTGCCAAGAATCGGCTCCTCTAAACAGCATAAAAGGCAGGTAATACCGGCTTTGCGAAAACAGAGGGCCCTCCCCTCCCTCCTACCCCCTCCCCGGAAGAAAACAGTCTGAGACCGAGGCAGGAACTGTTATCTTTATTTGGAAACAATAGGTGGCCGCCTAGTGACTGGAAGGTGCTTCCGCCGGCCGGAGAGGTGGAGCAAAGGTGGGGGGGCGCGGGGGGAGGGTACCCCCACTACTGGATCTGTCTGGGAAAAAACAAAAGTTGCCAAACCCCTGGCGCTCAAGCAGCAAGTGGACAGGTAAACTTGCCTCTCACCGCGACAAGGGGTACCGGAGGGCCTACCCGGAGAGTTCAGACGCTTAGGATGTGCTTCAGGAAGGCTGCAGAGACAGGAGACAAGAGGGCTTCAAGAAGCAGACCCGTGGGTAACCACCACCCTCACTTTAGGTAATAGAGGAGTGCTTTCCATTCTCACAGCAGCTTCACTTCCCTCCCCCTTGTAGAGCCCGAAAATCACCCTCATAGTTGATGCAGCCGTTGCTGTCCTCATGTCCAGCCAGAACAGTCTCCACCTCCTCCTCAGTCATCTTCTCCCCTGAAACCCAAACAGCACTGGTGAGCCCCCTTCCCTCCCTCACCTGTCCTACCCTACCCGGCCTCTTCTCTTATCACTTGCATTCACATTCACAGTACCTTGGAACTGTTCAAAGCTTTAACTGACAAGGAAACTCAAGCCCTTAGGATTAAGATCAGAGTACTTAAATTGGACAAAAAAAAAAAAACCCAAAACCAAGAACAATAAACAGTCAGGCGCAGGTGGCTCACACCTGTAATCCTAGCTACTCAGGAGGCTGAGAAAGTGATAGAGCACTAGCTTTGAGCAAAAGAGCTGAAGGACAGCATCCAGGCCAATGAGTTCAAGCCCACAACCGTTAAAAAAAAAAAAACTAACCTAATTATGGGCTCAACACTGGAGGTTCATGCTGCAATCCTAGCTAGTCAGGAGGCTGAGATCTGAGGACCACTGTTCAAAGCCAGCCTGGGCAGGGAAGTATGTGAGGCTCTTCAATTAACCACCAAAAGGCCAGAAGTGAAGAAGCTGTGGCTCATGTGGTAGAGCACTAACCTTGAGCACAAAAGCTCAGGGGCAGTACTCAGGGGAGTTGAAGCCCCAATATTAGCGCACACACATGCACACACACACACACACCCTAAAAAGAAAAAAGAAACTCTACAAATAAGGCTTCCAAAGTGGTAATGGGTCCCCTACTACATTCCATATCCTTTGTCGTATTGTGGACACTTAAACTGCTGAGGAAGCAAGGCCCTCAGATCTGTCCCCATGGCTTTGACCTTCAGGTTTCTGCCCATGACCTACAGGGCAGTAATCCCCTCCCAGACTCTGCTTAACTTGCCAACCTTCCTGGTCCACCCCCTCCTCTTCACCCCACAGGAATTCTGGTTGCTGTCTCACCCAGGGTGGTGAGGACATGTCTGAGCTCTGCACCCATCACTTTGCCATTCCCTTCCTTGTCAAACACCCGAAGCCCCTCCAAGTAGTCTTCATACGTCCCTTGGTCCCGGTTTTTGGCTACTGCCTGGAGCATAGGCAGGAAAGTCTCGAAGTCCACACGCCGAGACTTCAGCTCTGGAGAATGGAGAGAAGTAAGAGGGCACTGAGGTATCACAAAGGTGAAGACCCATTTCCCATTCCTTCCACAGACTTCTATCCCCTTCAGTATTCAGAATGTCTTGTATTTACCCTGTGTTTCACAGTTTCTGAAGATCAGCATCCTTTGACACCTTACCAGTAATCTACCACTGAAAATCGAAGACTAGAGATGAAGGTGAATGGTGCAATGCTTACCTTGCATGTGCAAAGTACCTGGGTTTGATCCCCAATAATAAGAAAATGATCACTGAAAACCCACGTGTTCTAAGGCACCTCTCACCGTCACTCTTGGGGTTCCCCAGGACCTTGAGCACCTCGGCGTTGGTGGGGTTCTGGCCCAGGGCTCTCATCACATCCCCACATTGGCTATATAGGATCTTGCCATCACCTACTCGATCAAACAGTTCGAAGGCCTCCTTGAACTCTGAGGAGATTTAAGGGGAGAGCAGTATTGACCAGAGGTTCCCACCTTCAGACAGGAAGTTAAGAAAGTGCTGGCCGGTAATTCTTATCTACCTCAGGAGGCTGAGGTCTGAAGATTGGGGTTCAAAGCCAACCTTGGGCAGAAAAGTACATGAGACTATTATCTCCAGTAAACCAGCAAAAAGCTGGAAGTGGAGGTATGGCTCAAGTGGGATCATGTCAGCCTTGAACAAAAAAAGTCTAGTGAGCACAAGGCCTTGAATTCAAGTGTCCCAGTACTAGCACACATGCACAAACACAAATATTTATGTGGTAGAGCTGAACAGAACAAAGGAGGAAAAGCGGACAAGTGTGGAAGGTTTCAAGGTCAGGACTGGAGGTAGGGGAGTAGAAAGGGGCCCTGATCTGAAGCTTGGGACTGGATAATGGGATTAGGAAAATAGCTTCTCCTCACCCTCCAGTTGGTCCTTGTTAAACTCGATCTGTGGAAGAAAAAAAGCAGGTGAGGACAGGGCTTGTTCAATCCCTCCCAAACCCTCCTCCCAACCAACTGGCAGCCGCTCCTGGGGAGGGGCCCAGTCACCTCAGTCCCATTCCCAGCTCTGGACCTTGGGAGAATCCCAAGAGGAGGAATTATAAGGGGGAGGGCTTCCTGGGAACAGGGCTAATCCCAGGCCACCTGTTCCCCTCCCTCCACTACCCTGAGCCCTGCATCCCTCACATAACTGGGGGCTGAACAAAGGCTAAATTTACCCCTGGTCCCCAGCTGTGATTGTCTAACAAGTCTGTCCTCTTCAGCCTCTCCTCTTGGAGATCAGAGCTGCTGTCTTTAGAGCAGAACAGCCACTTAGGGGCAGGCAGCACTTCTCTCCCTCCACCTCAGAACCTAGGTGTTTCCCATCTCACAATCCCTGCTTCTAGCCAGGGGGTAAGCAAGTGTGGGTGTGTACGTAGTACACACCTGTATTGGAAGGAGATAGCAAGAAAGGACAATAGCAGAGTCCGAAACCGGGATGCTGTCTAGTGGTGAGACTGCAAGAGACCTCCAATCTGAAACCAGCTTGTTTATCCCCTCCATTTCACATATTCCTTAATCCCCTTCTCCAAATTCTCTCCTCTTTCCCAGGACTCACCACCACTTTGGAGAGATCAACAGGGGGCTCCTGAGTTTTCACTGGCGCCTGGGAGACAGCAGGCTCAGCCTTGGTCTTGGCTGGAGGGGTTCCTGCTACAGGCTTGGCAGCAGGCTTGGAGATGATGGAAGGCCCTGCTGGTTTCTTCACTGGAACATCTTTCTTAGGAGGCATGATGTTCGGTGGCCAAAGGACAGTGTGCCGCCGATGGGGGCACCCATCTCTGTTTAAATAGCCAGGGAGTCTGGGATGTCAAGGGGCGGGGGCAGGGGCAGGGCGCCAGTTGGCAAGGGTGAGATATCAGAGAGAGATGCCCGTCTGCCTGCCTCCAAAGGTTCAGGACTTCTAACCCAAGGTTTTCTGAACTCTATCTAATCCCTGAAAGCTATCCAGGAACAATGTTCCTTTTAGGGACAGAGGGAAGAAGCTAGAGACTGCCAATATAGAATGGGGGAGTTAACCTCCAGGGTTATGACAGGATGCTTGCCTGTAACATTAAGATAGTGGTGAGGTGAAAGAGAGGGGACCCAGTAGCTTAGATTCTAAAAAGCCCAGGCAGAGGTAGGAATGGGAGAAGAATCCAGGAGGCTTGAGCTAGAAATAGTAAGAGGTGGGGGAAAACCAAACCAAGCCTCTTTATTCCCTTCAGGAATAGGGGTAGCTGGCCCCCATAGCTGTGTGATGCCCGAAATTTGTAGTTCTTGGGTCCCCAGCCAGCCCAGAACTGGAACTGCACACAGTAACAGAAAGGGGAGTACTCCCCTTTGTCTCCTGTGGATTCAGTACTGATTTAGGGGTGATCAGGTTTAACACCCACCGCCCACACTTCCAAGGAAGGAATCTTTTCCATAAGCACACGGCCATTCTATTTAGATATACGGAAGGTATCTGCAGAACCTGCCAGGAGTCCCCCCTCCCCACGCCCCAACACCTGGTGGAACCTGGGGGAGGGGGCGGAAAGACAGGCTTCTGGAACACAAAGAGCCTAGATTCCGTAATTCAAAAGGATGCAAGATCTAGAATAGGACATCTGTTAGTACTCAGCCTCCCCCTCCTTCCCCTAATCAGGAACAGAATAAAGAGCTCTAACTAATAAAATCCCCAAACTCACCCTGCAGGGTCCGAGTGTGGGGCGGGGGCGGGGCGGGATGCAGCGCAGCTCCTAGCACTAAAGAGTTAACGCTAGCGGTTGCGGAGCACGCCGGGAATTGTAGTCCCTGGTGGCTCACCGGAAGCCTTCCTCTGTGCGAGACTTACGCGGGAGCGTCGGCTTCCGGTCTCCAGGGGCGGTTAGTGACTCAGGGTCTGCTGCGGGCTTGTGTTGTACCGGAACTGAAAGCCAGCGAGCGCGCACACACATATTTGGGGATCCTAAAGCCCTGCGGGGCCCCTCAGGACAGAGGTCCCCTTTACCTTGTCCTGAGGAGCCCCCAGCTTGGCGCGGCGGGGTGATCGAAGCTGCGGCCGGGATCCGGAGGCCCAGCCGTCGGTGGGCGCGCCCTTCGCCCCGGGGCAGGCCGGGAGGCTTTTCGCTTCCTCTCGAGGTTTTGCCGGGGGAAACCGCGACGAGGGAGTTCCCTGGTGGCTCGCCACGCTCACTGCTCACTTCCAGAGCTTTTAAGTGTTAATTTA